TGCCACACGCTGCAAGCGGGGCGTGAAGCAAGTGCAAGCTGACAGCATGTTGCTAAACAGCATTGGACTCATGGGATTTGCAACTCCTGCCGGCGGGTCGTCAACTTGCATGAAGTTTGAATCAACTTGCGTCAATGATTGCTTGCATCCAATTCACTTTCGCTGATAGTTTGGCCTTCCCGCATCTGTGGCACACCCACACTCAGTACCGACTAGCATAGCGCACCGGCCGCAAACCTTTGGGTGGATATGCAAGTGCAACCGCTTCAACTGCAGTTGCTTGACTCTCCCTTTGTGGGCATCAGCTTTTGCTGGACAAGACACTCGGCAAATGTGGGGCTCAGTCAGAAGGCGGTTACGACTTCTGGCGTGCTGTTATCAGAACAAGTCATTGCAGGAAGCAGGCTGGTATGCTTCAGGCATTTGGAAGCACGGTTTCCAGCCTGGACACCTCAGCCTTGAAGTCATGTCTTGCATGTCAGCCTTCAGCACAGAAAGCTGGCATTCGTGATCTCCATAAGATGCCGAGATGCCATGCGAGTGAACCAGTGGAGAGCGGCGTTAGTCGGCTTTAGACTCACGTTCCTTCTCCAGCTCACGCCTCGAAAAGCAAGTGCAAATCGCCTTTTGCGCGGCTTCACCTTCATGAAAGAATGCGACAAACACAGCCGCCATTCGTGATCTCACTAAGCGTGATCTCAGTAAGATGCCGAGATGCCATGCGTGTGAACCAACGGAGAGCTGCATTGATCGGCTTTAGACTAACATTATTTCTCCAGCTGACTCTCCCTTTCTGGGCATCAGCTTTTGTTGGACAAGACACTGGGCAAATGTGGGTCCCAGTCACAAGGCTGGTTACGACTTCTGGCGTGCTGCTATCAGAACAAGTCGTGGCAGAAAGCAGGCTGGTATGCTTCAGGCATTTGGAAGCACTCTTTCCATTCCGGGCACGTCGGCCCTAAAATCACTTGGTGCATGTCAGCCTTTGGCCACTCCTCTACTAGTGCAATGACCCCAAATCCCCGAGAAGAATGCTGATTTGGCTGCTTTACTTTCAGCACTGCTCTCGGTTACACTGATTGGTTGAGCATGAAACATACCTCTCTCGATCCCCAAAACGACAGCAGGTTGCTTTGCAGGTGCGAGGGTTAGCGCTTCAGGCGCAGTGGCGAGGTATCAAATCGCCGATTAGGTCCAAATCATGCCATTTCGCTTGAACACCCGCAAACAGACATAGCCAGAGGCTCGAATTGTCTGACATCACTGATGCCAATCACAAATGCATCCATCCAACCCTGGAAACCACACTTTCAACTGCAAGCTCAGTACTAAGTGTTGCACTTGCTCTTAATAACTCAGGCAATTAGCCCAATGGACTTCGTAGATCCGAGCTGTGCGTTCGACTCAGCTTGAGCTCACTGGGACAAAGAATGGGTCAAGATGGGGCCTGCAATGACGACGCCCTCGCCAGGTTCAAGCAGCGAAGGAAAGGTCAGAAGTATTCGTAAGGAAAAGCTGCTGGAATCTCAGCAAAGGGAGCAAGCTGGGATGAAATTTGTCGGCATCCGCGCAGGGGAGAAAGAGGTAGTACTACCTGTCTGTGGTAGGCGCGCCTTCGAGCTTCTCCAGGAGCAACTACCTCAAAGGCATGGATCTTCAAAGATTTGATACTGTCCTCTTGGCATATGAGAGCATCCCAGTCGCTCAAAGAAGAGTCAGCCGCACAAATCAGGCAGGAAGTCAACCAAACATCGAGCGCCTGACACTTGACCCTTTGAATTCAGCGGTGAAAGCGAGCATTGCGCATCGCCCAATTGCAATCCACTGTTTGGAGCCAAGGCTGAGGGAGCCATGGCATGTCACGTAGCATTGCCAGCATTGCACTAGGTCACTAGGCTACCCGGAAACATCAGGGTTGCTTCCGCTGCTGGCTTCAGTGATTTCTCACAGCACCTGCTGAATGGGTCAGTGCACAGCATGCTTCCGTTGCATAGCGCACAAGGAAAATGCCTCAATTTCCCTCTCACATGATTTGACGCACGACAACACAGTGATACAAACCTGGATCCCATCTGAGAGAACAGGACTAGAGCCGTGGGCCGGAGCAACCCCAGCAGCCTGGCAAGGTTGGCGTGCCGGCCTGGCAAGGGGCGATCATGGCACATCCATCCCTGCGGGGTGCTTGAGCCTTGCTCCCCTCGAGAATCGCCTTCGGGGTTGACTTGAGCGCAGCACGCGCAACAGCACAGCGAAAGCCCTGACCCTCTGACACACGTACTCGGGCGGCCAAGCCAGCTGAAAGTGCCAGCGATACATCAATCGAGTGACCAAGCACACGACCAATGGATCAAGCTGCGACGCCAGGCCAATGCTGCTTTGCTGTGTGCGTGCTGAGCGTACGAGGGGCTGAATGGTCGATTGCAATGCCAGCTGACACATACGGCAGCCCTCAGCACATGCGATTTGCCTCACAGTGATGCCTCTCAGCGACTCACTAACGTGGCAAAAGCTAACACGCCGTCGTTGGCACTGACTAAGCGACCCCCAACTCCCAAATGGCGGCTTTGCACAAGCCACAAGTACAACCTCGACATGTCGCTTGCGTTGGCCACTCCATGCTCGCTGCAATTCCACAGCATAGCCTCACTTCCCTTCCAGCCTTAGCGTGTTAGCCTGTTACGCCTGCATCCTGTGGCAAGGTTTGAGAGGATCGTGGCATGGCTCAACATGAGGGGCCCAAGGGCCAATCATGGAAGATCCGCCTGCACCTCAACAAATTTGATCAGGCGAGCGGGTAGCGTTTTAGCTTCTTTGCTTCAAACAGCGGAGCCCAAAACTGTTTTGCCTCTCGCGTAAGGCGGTTTCCGCGGCACACACAACACAAAGAACCAAAATTCGAGATTCTCCAGCCTGGCTCTCTGACCTCCAGCTGCACACAGCTCTCATCTTCCATCATCAACTCAAGAGAAAATGCCGAGCTTGACTGGATCATCCTGAAACTTGCTCGACAAGTCTGTTGAACTCCTCGGTGAATTGGAAGTCACGGGCACACCGATGCCTAATTGGAACCATGATGGCATCTGCGTGTCCTTGTGAAGTAGACTCGCAAGTGATACTGCCTACGGCTCAGTGGGTTCGGTAAGATGTTTTGGGGTGCGGCGCGTTGCATTCTGCGGAGATCCTAGCCATTTCGCAAGTCAAGCGATGACATGAAATTCCAATATCGCCGCTAACGATTATCCCAAGACGACTGGACATCCCTCGGCACATCCCGACGCTACTGTACCAGCTCTGTAGACTGCGGCCTGTCTCTGGCAGGAAGCTGCCCTGTTGAATGGCTTGCCACTTTTTGCGAGCCCGAGTCAGTGAAACGCCGAACGCACCTTGACCCTCACTGAAGCTCTGCTGGGTTCTCACTGCCCTGGGCTGGCTGCACATTCGCCAGGCGCAAACGTGCTCACAGCTCATGCACTTCAGATTGGGCTTCGCATGATTGAGGCATAGAGGTCTATCCGCACAAATTCAAAAAGAAGGGGAGAATCGGGCATGAATTGAGTGGGTCGTCTAGCGTCAATCGATGAAGCCGTCCATGCCCGGGCAAACAACTGCGCAGCTCAGGGCATTTCCTACCAAGCTTCGGATTGGTCGCCCAATGGTGGCGCGCCATGCGCGGACCCGAAGGGCTGGCCCAAACTCAGTCACGCCGTATCTATCGACTCACTCACGTCTGTCTTCACGGTTGGTCAATACGAGTTCTGACTTGTCCGGCTGCCGGAGTTGCCTGCAGCGCGCTCGATGCCAAGCTGCCAGGCTCTACTCTTCCGAAATGGAACCGCCATGTGAATTAGCTGAACGAAAAGCTCCCGTGGGAAGCCGAAGGGTATGGTACTGGTGCTCAACCCCTGCGCGTCATGGCTCTTCCACCTGGCTAATTGCGAGGTCAGCTGCCATTCCCGTGCATGTAGTCCACAAAACTTCCTCCCGGAAAAGCTGAGCTGCGTTTGCACACGTTGTTTCTCGTGTTAAACTTATCGAGCAAGCACGTTGCGGCTGCTTGCCAAGCTACGTGCGCTCTCGACGTTTGCGAGCTGCCAAGCGGCTAATCTCATGGGTGTTTCACGTGCAAGTGCAACACAATCCGTATGCATGGGATACACGCGGTCGTGCATGTTGCGCTCCCTCCAACAATCATGGCAGCTCACAACAGGGTGTGGGAAGACTGCGTTTTGTTTGGGGTACCTCCCTGTAGACTTCCATGATTCTTGGACGGAGGGTAAGAGGTCAGCTGCAATTCCACAGACACACCAGGAATGCACAGAAATAGCAATCCTCACACAAACAGCCCGCGCTTGATGCGAAGAGGGGCGTGAGTGATGGGAATCTGTGCATAGCCTGGGCCTGAGACATTCCTTCTTCAAAACTTCACATATAGCACAAGCACAGAATCCTCACCTACGATTCCAAGGCTGTGATAAGCAAAAGGCAAAACTGCACAGACACAGTACGCAGTGAGAAAGCTGTGAGCTGTGCTCACTGGGACACAGGCTGCAATTTGCTCAAAGCTTTTCCCCGAAAGTCTCAAAGGGCATGCAGTGGTGTGCGGTCTTGACTGCAGGGCGTGGCTGCACATGTCAGCCAGGCCATAGCACATTACGGCAAATGTGGAAACAAGAACAACAATTGCTTGCAAAATGACGCCTTCAAGAACTCATGTTTTGCCAGACCAATTTAAGTCGGCAAGAGGCCTTCAAAAATGTGTCTGGGGTCTCAGCCCAGGATGTGGCCGCCTTCCGGGAGCAAGCTGCGAACTCCTTTGCAACGCCCTGTTCCTGCAAGGCTCAATCCTTACATCACGTGTCATCCTGTAGATAGGGTGAGTCTTTTGCGAAGATCAGCGCAGCCATCGCATGCAGCGGATGCACCGCATGCGGATGCACCGCATGCAAGATCAACCACAGCTTTCCCGGCGCTTTACTGGCACCGCTGCTTGCTGCACTTCTTCATGGCAACACCTGGAAATCGCGCAACGTCATGGGCACGCCCCCAAAACCAGACCCCGTTTCGGCCGAGGAAGGGGTCCCCATGTTTCCGGTGCGGCTCAGTGGGGCAAAACAAACTCGCAACCCGACTGGTTGCGCCCGGGCCTTCAGCGAGCTCTTCAGCGAGCTCTTCAGCGGCGACAAACTTTGGCCCCTGACGCTCTCCTGACGGCGCAAGCCACCAGCGATCAACACGATCGGCAAACTGAAATGCCAAAAAAAACAGTGGACCAGTCAACCTCTGATCCATACAGAGCTTGTTGATTTATCCCTAATAAAGACTGTCCTCTTCCCCCGCTCCCCCACATTGCGGGCCAACGCTACTCAAAGGGGGCCGCAAGGGGGCTGCAAGGTTTGGACCAAACCACTAATCCATCTCCAAATCGAGTCTTCAGGCACACTGGATCTCATCAAGGAGTGACCGAGTGACCGAACTGTAGTATGGGGCTGCCAAACAGTGTGAGACATGAAGAGTGGGAGGTTGGTGGCGGCTGGAGATATTGGTATCTAGTCCGACAATCCGCGGAATCCTTGCTCTGATCTGTAGTCTCAATCCGTGATCCGTGCTGCAAATTGTGGATTAGAGCCTTTGGCTGGAGCATCGAGAAATCTGCAATCCGCAAACAGCACACTCTAGTCCGTAAACCGCGCAATCCGCAGACCGCTAAGCTGTGAGGACGGGAGGTCGGCATGGTGGCAGGCGAGTTGGCGGCTCTCGTGGACTTGAAGGGCTGCGGACCGGTTGGCGGCTCAGGGCTCAGCGCCAGCGGCTTTGCGCAGAGCGCACCAGTGGAGACGAGACGCACAGAGAGCGAGAGGCAAGGCTGGAGCAGAAAAGGTGGCCAGCGCCGCGCAAAGTAAAGGCGAAGGTCGCGGCGACACCAAAGGCGGAGGCGGCCATGGCGCCGAAGGAGGCGGGGGCTCCTTTCTGCTGAGCTGGGCGAGGGGAGATGATTCGGTCCATGAGAATCGCGTTCGGGTGCGTGCTTGCATGGTTCCTCACCGCAAGGCGTGCTTGCATGGTTCCTCACCGCAAGGTGTGTGCGGATTCTTGCGCTTGCCCCGAAGTCATAGGAACAGGTCCACCACACGCAGGAAAGGGAGCAACGGAAGTCAGGGACTTCGCACCGTGTAGCTTTGGAACAGGTCAAGTTCGGATGGCTTGCTTTTGTCAGCGATTGCCAAAGGGTATCCAGTGCGAGGCCTGCAATCAAATCCGCAAGGCGCAGAACGAGATGGCAACTCAGGTGGCAGTCTGACAAGCATGGTTTGTGGCTGGCTGAATTCGAGCGTGGCTATGGCTTTTTGGCTGCATGTCGCTGGGCTGAGTTGGCTGCAGTTCGTCCGGAGAAAAACAAGGAAGCGCGGCACGGTTTCCTTAATCATGGAGCGTGGAAATAGGAGCAAATGCTGTGTCCTGGGGCTACACTTTGACAGGAACTGCAACTGTTTGGCCCCCGCCGTGTCACGGGATGAGTTGCAGCCTCACAGTGAGGCAGCATGACGATGCGACTGTGAGAGGCTAAGTGGCTGTGGGTTTCCAACTGGGGGCATAACTTCACATCTTCACTTTGCCACGCGCCAGGCTTGCAGAAAGGTAGGTATCTAGCCATCTGTACTTGCATGGATGCGTACTTAAGTGGTTTGCCAAATTCACCCGCGAGAGCAAACGCTTGTGCCATGGTCTCGGCAGCATGGAAGTAGCCACCCTCTGGATTTCCGTGAGACAAACGATGGGATTTACCAGACTGTTTTTGCACTGCTCAATGTGCATGTGAGTGGTCATAGTGATGACAAATTGCTGGTGCGAAGTTGGACGCTTGTCGGAGAAACGTCTGGCAAATCTGTTACCTTGATTGATCTTACCACCTCGCCCATATACCCCGGCGAGCATTGACCGCTGCGTGTAAGCTGAGCTCGAGGCTGCAACCTTTCAGTCACGGGGGTTCTTGAACCTTGCTTCGGGGCTCACATGTTCACAACATAAATAGATCTATAAATGTGTGAATATATGTGCGTGCGTGTCTGTATATATGCGTGCGTACGCAAATGTATGCACATACAGAATCATACATTATGCGTAGGTATATGTGTGAGAGTAAATGTGCGCATGTGTCTGTAGAATTACGCGCATACGTCGTGAGTGCACGAGTACAATATCGAATCCGACACGCAATGCTGCCACGGAGGTGCGCCGGCCAGGGCACTTCGTTGAGCTGGGGGGGTTGAATCAGCGTTGCAAAACTCCGCTTAAAGTTGATGTCTGCAAGCTGCGGGCCTCTACACTGCAATGCAAGGCAAACTCCGTGCTTCAGTAACAGATTTGGTCCTTCTGGAGGGCAAGATTGACAATGGGATTGCAGCCAGGCAATGCTGCGATGCACCTCCGCGATGCTGTGAAGGAAGCCTGCAAGGGTACTACACGTGACCGCTTGCAAACTCACTTTCTTCCGCACGCCTAGTTCAGCCTATTTCCTACACACTCCTGTCAACAAGAAGGCCCCGCGCGCAAACGCGGACCTCAAAGGTGGCCTTGTTGGCATCGAGGGCAAATGCCAGGCCAGGAGCGTAGCTAGCCTGGCCGCAGGAAAACGAACACAATCACACAAAGAAACAAAAAGCCTCGAGAAACACATCGGCGCCAGGCCTGCGATGGACTGCAAGAATGCTCATTGCATTCAGTCTGCCTTCGAGGCACAGCCAACACAGCAAACTCTGACACGCACAAGGCTGGCGAAAAACATGCTCAAACGACGGCTGCCAAGATTCATCACAGCTTTGGAGAAGTAGATCAGAAAGGTCTTCCCAGTCAGATGTGGTCTGCGTGTCTGCTGCCACGGTTGAGAGGCCACACCTGAGTAACTAAAGCCACGGTTGCAGATCACGAAGCCACAAAGCCACAAAGCTTCAGAGTGAAAAGGGCAACCTCCGGCAAGCTGCCTGGCGCCCACCACATGCGCGACAAGAGTTGTCCAGGGAGGTGTCACCGAATGTAGTGAAACTCGGACATGTGGCTGCCTGCACGCTGGGCAGTGTCTATTTGAGTTGGTTTCCCTTCGTTGGTGGGCTTTCGGAACTCATTTCAAAAAGAAGGGTGCAGTTCAGCTGCTCATTTCTTCCACCGAATCGCACATGACGCTTGCCGACGTTGGGCTGCACGCCATCCGCAAACTGCTACGAACACGTTCCACCTTGTGGGTTCCTCAATTTGTTGACCAAATCTAGGAAGCGCCCATCATACGTGCTCTGTGTGTGGATCACTTCACGTGGGACGGTGATTGCCAGCGGCGGTGAGCTTCGGCAGCTGCTGGCGCTGCGTTGTGTGAACTAACATGCCGCTCTAGTCATGTTTTTTGAAGCTTGCCGTGGTTGCCTGAGCCGACAAGGCAGCCATGTTTAGTTCTGGATGCAAACACAAACTTGTCCACCAGCCCCTTGCTGGGAGCGTTTCATGGCTTCCTCGCATCATTGAATTTGGGGGATGCCGGGGGCGTGGGCGATTCTGCGTCTGAGGAAAGAAATTCTTAGCCGCGCCTCCTGGAACTCAATTACATCTGGGACGCGCTTCACGGTCTGAGACATCAATACAAAATCAAGTTGAGGATCGAAAAACTCAACTTAGCAGTAGCCGTAGTACTAGTTGTAGTAGCAGGAGCAGTAGCAGTAGTAGCAGTTGTAGTAGCAGGAGTAGTAGTAGTAGTAGTAGCAGTAGTGGTGGTGGTGGTGGTGGTACTAGTAGTAGTAGGCGTAGTAGTAGTAGTAGCGGTAGTAGAAGTAGTAGTAGTAGTAGCAGAAGTCGTAGTAGTAAGAATAGTAGTAGTAGTAGTAGTAGTAGTAGTAGTAGTAGTAGTAGTCGTTGTTGTTGTTGTAGCTGCAGTAGCAGCTGTAGCTGTCGTACTGCTTAGTCAAACTACCGTACGGACTGTTCGCTGGCCGCTCTTGGGAGCACATGGGCGGCACTACCTGCGAATCGCAGCTAAAGCTAGACCTAAAGCAGTGGCAAAATGGCCCAAGACGTTGGACAAACGCGTATTTCTTTGCTTTTGGCAGATTTACCGGCGCAACTCAAAAAACAGAAAAGGACACTGCGCAAAGACATGTTTGTTCGTGTGGAACTTTCCGTTGGCCCGCCTTTACTGCTGGAAAGTTGACTCTTTTACCTGGCTCAAGTGAAAGCAAAAGAAGCCAAACAACTTGTCGACCGTTGAAAAGTAAAAAGCGAAACTTCCGAAAGAAAAACTTGCTAAACTTCAAGCAGTCGCACTTGCCTTACCCAGTGCAAGGAAAAAGTAGTAAACGTCCAAAAGGTAAGGCTTGTTTTACTCCATGAGTTTTTACTTCGTTACTTTTGCCCAGAAAAGTGCAAAAGTAAAAAGTAAAACTTTTGGACCCAGTAACAAGAAAAGGCCCCAACCTGATAGAAGCCACGAACCAGAATGCAAAAGACGGCCGTGAGAGCGCGCAATTCATCAACTCGAGCAGCAATGTTGTCCAGCTGGAGCCATGCTTTGAGCAACACTTCTGGGCTTCTGACCAACAGTTCGACCAATTCTTCGACGCAAAAGTTGTCAGCACTGACAGAGGCGCTTCTGAGCAAGAGCTTGCGCGACACCTCTGAGCGACCGCGTGAGCAACACTCCTGAACACACTTACAAGCGGTACTTCGAAATTCGCTCCTGAGCAACACCTCTGGTTGGTCGAAGCGTCGAGCGACGATCCTGGACGCATACTTCTGAGCGGCTTTTTCGGGAAACTGAGCGACGAGTTCAAGCGACACTTCTGCACACACATGTAAGCGACTACTGAGCAACGCTCTTGGGCGACAAACCCGAGCGACATTTCTACACACACACATCTGACCCACACTTCTGAGCCACACTTCTGCGCGACACTTCTGAGCAACTCCTCTGAGCGACTCCTCTGAGCGACACTTCTGAGCACCTCCTCTGAGCGACACTTCTGAGCCACACTGCTACACACACACAACAGCGACACGTTTGAGCAACACTTTTACACAAGCACATCAGCGACACTTCTGACCGACACTCCGGAGCGACGACGACACCTCTGCGCAATGAGCCATACTTCTGACAACATCTTTGGGCAACACGCGCGCGCACGTACACGCAAGCGACATGTCTGAGCGACACCTGAGCAACATTTCTGGCCAACACTTCTTCGGATCGACACTTCTGAGCGTCACTTCTGAGCAACACTTCTGGCCCACACTGCTGATCGACACTTCTAGGCGACGCTTCTCATCCACACTTCTGGGCGCCACTCAACTTCTGAGCAACACTTCTGAGCAACTCTTCTGACCAATTGTTCTGCTCGAATCTTCTGAGCGACACTTCTGACCGACCGTTCTGCTCGAAACTTCTGAGCGCATTTCTGAGCGACACTTCTGAGCAACACTTCTACACACGCAGAAGCAACACTTCAAGCGACAACTTACACCCACACACACCACCCGCATGTGAGCGACACTACTCCTGAGCAGTTCGAGCAACACTCCTGAGCGACACCTCTGAATACTACTGCTACTACTACTACCACTATTATACTACTACTACTTCTTCTTCTACTACTACCACTACTACTACTACTCCTACAACGACTTTTGCAGCCACTGCCACTCCTACTGCCACTAGTACTGGAAGTAGTACTAGACCAGCACTAGTACGAGCGCTACTACCATTACTTCGTTGTTTGTTTATTCATTTGTTTTGGTTTAATGACTTATCGCTTTCCCACTGTTGATCTACTTATCGAACACTTGATTCGTTTTTCCTTATTCCCGAAATCGCCATCTTCTCGTCCCTTCCCTTCCCTTCTCTTCTCTTCTCTTTTCTCTCTCCCTTCTCTCTCTCTGCTCTGTTCTCTTATCTCTTCTCTCTTCTCTCTCTCTCCCTCCCTCCCTCCCTCCCTCTCTTTCTTTCTCTTTCTCTTTCTCTCTCTCTCTCTCTATCTCTCTCTCTCTCTCTCTCTCTCTCTCTCTCTCTCGCTCTCGCTCTCCCTCTCTCTCTCTCTCTCTCTCTTTCTTGTCAAACTACATGCTTCACCACTTGCATTTGTGTTGCATGTGTGTGTACTACCGCAGGCCTTGAGCCTCAGCCCGACTACAGCTGGAGAAGACAAAGGCTGCAGCAGACTACATTTGTTTGTGTTAGAAACAACACTGCGTTTGCATTTGTAGTAATTGTAACTCCGGTTTTAACATGGTGGCGGAGCTGAGATCCTAAACATAGGGGATCTCCATTATCCGGCAGTAAGTACTACAACAACTGCAATAGCAATCACATGCCAAACTACTACGACATGTCAGGAGAAGCAGCATCAGCCTCAGCACAACAGACTACAGGAGCAGAGAACGGGCCAACAGCAGAAACAGTAGGAGCCACGACTAGGCGAGCAGGAACAGAACAAGACAACGACGTTCAGAGACTACATCGATACAAACTGCCACCACCCTTCTTCACTGGTGACTACTCCCAGTATGAAGAATGGCTGTTCAAGCTACAAGCCCACCTTGGCCTCATAGACCGAGGCTTCGACCTGGTGCTACAACTAGCACAAGTAGCTACACGACAGATTGAGGACAGACATCAGAACACACATACTCGATCCTACACAAGCAAGCAAAGCAGTAGACCTCTCCAGAGATCTACACTACATCCTCACCAACATCTGTCAGGGAGCAGCAGCTACAGTAGCAAGGCAAAACCGCTACAACGCAAATGGATGTGAAACACTGCGACTCTTGCACAACAGGTTCAGCCTACCAGTAGGAACACGAAGCGTTGGCTACCTTACCAAGCTACTGGAACCTACATTCAACGAAGCACAATTTGAAGAGCAATTCCTACAATGGGAATACGACATCAACCGCTACGAGAAAGACAACATCACAGCACTACCAGATGGAATAAAAATCGCGATACTACTCAACAAGACCAAAGGAGAACTGCAACAACATCTTCAACCGCGAGCTGGACAGATCACGAACTACATCGAGATCAGAGCAGTCATCCTGATCCTGGACTACTACAGGACGATTTCAGCTTTCTCAAGATCGACTTCAGCAGTTGGCACGAACTACAATGGAGGATCTGTGGAGGAAAAGAAACTACAAAGGCAAAGGAAAAGGCAAAGGCCAGTACAAAGGAAGCAAAGGCAAAGGCAAGTACAGGAGCAAAGGACACTACAAGGGATTTGATAAATCAACAGAGGAAGCTACAAGAAAGGAGGATACAACAAGAGCACAGGAAAATGCTACTCAGGATCCAAAGGTTAAGCAAGGGCTGCAAAGGCCAAGGAAACTCAAGCAAAAGGAAAAGGAAGCAACAGCTACATGACATGCCACTGATGCGCAAGTAGTGATTTGGGCTTGCGCTTGTGTAGTAGTGACTTTGCTTGTCTGATGTGTCCAATGGTGAGGTGTGACTCGTTGATACCTCCAACGTAGTTTGCTGTGTCTTCGTAGCTGTCGTCATTCCAATCCCAGCTGTTGTCATAGTCGTAGTCGTTCCAAGTCTCCTCCATGTAGTTTATCTCGTGTTGTCCTTCTTCTCCTTCGTAGTACCAGTCCCACGTGTCGTTCACATCCTGAGGTAGTTCTTCATTGGCGTCCTGATCTGCTTGTTCTTGTTCTAGCGGATGTAGTTCTTCTCCTTCTCCTATGTGCCACACCGGCACTCTGCAGTCCTGGGCCCAATGGCCAGGCTTGCGAAAGAAAACAACACACACACAACATCGCGGAACGACCACAGCAAGAACTTTCAACAATTCCTTCGAGAGGACACAACACAACTGCACTTCGACATAGCAGCAGCAACACAACAGCAAAGAAGCAAGAAGACTGAGGACACCATCACACACTACATCATGTACTCCAACTTCAAGTCATACCACCACCTGCTGATTGACTCAGGAGCATGTACACACGTTTGCCCGAAG